TTGATAATGATCCAACTAGCTTTGTAGAGGTTACTAGTGCTCCTGATGCAAAACAGTGGGTTAAGGCCATTAGGATTTAATTTTAATCAATAAAGAAAAATAATACTTGGACTTTAGTAGATTTGCCTAAAGGAGCAAAGTTCATTGGTTGTAAGTAGATCTTTAAGAAAAATATCACCCTGATGGATCTGTAGAGAAGTATAAGGAAAGATTAATAGTAGAAGGACCCAACATAGATTGTACCTTTGTCCTTGTGACTAGGATTTCCTTCATTTGAGTGTTGTTAGCTCTAGCATCCATCCATAAACTAGTTATACACTAGATGGATGTTAAAACAACTTTTTTGAATGGTGATTCGAAGGAAGAAATTTATATGACTCAACCTGAAGGGTGTGTTGTACCTGGTTAAGAGAATAAAGTATGCAAACTTTAAAAATCTTTTGGCTTGAAGTAAGAACCAAAATAATGGCATGAAAAACTTGATAATATATTGCTATATGATGGGTTTTCACCTAATGATGCTGATAAATGTGTGTACTCTAAATCTGAAAAATGGTGATTATGTTATTATATGTTTGTCTGTGGATGACATGTTAATTTTTAGTACATGCAATGATATTGTCGCTATCTAGAACTAAATTGTTTCTAGGATCAAATTCTGAAATGAAAGATATGGGTGAAGCCAATGTGATTTTAGGTAATAGAATCATAAGGAAGGGAGACAATATATTACTATCTCAAATACAAAACATTGAGAAACTTCTTAAGAAGTTTGGGTTTTATGACTTTTTCACACTTATCAACCCCATAATTCTAAATTAATGAAAAATAAAGGAGAATCTATTTTTCAGCCTCAGTATGCCTAGATAATCGAGACCTTACTGAACTTCATGAGCTTTTATAGACCTTATATTGCTTAAGCAGTAAGTAGAATGAGTAGGTACACTCAATGTCCAAATCAGTAACATTGGGATGCATTTGCTAGGCTTATGAGATACTTAAGAGGTTCAATGGATTATGCCATTGAATATAGTGGATTTTCCGCTGTAGGAGAAGGTAGAATGAGACAATATTTACTAGTGATTATGTATTCACACTTGAGGGTGGTGCAATTACATGGAGATCATCAGCCAGACAAACAATTATTGCAAGATCAACAATGAAATCTGAGTTTGTCGCTCTTAAGAAGGTTGGTAATGAAGTTGAGTGGTTGAAGAACTTCTTAGCAAACATTACACTAAGAATTAAACCAACCCCATTAGTGTTAATACACTATGATTGCCAATCGGCAATAGCTATAGTTAAAAACAAGAATTATAATGAAAAAAAAATAGACATATACAATTGAGATACAATTTGGTGAAGTAACTACTAAAGAGTGGAACTATTTCCATTGATTATGTGAAGTCAAAACAAAATCTAGCAGATCCTCTAACACAACTCCTAGGAAGACAAATTATATTAGAAACATTGAGGGAAATGAGACTTAAGCCAGTTGGAAACAAACAAGTGATGATAATTCAACCTTTGTGATTGAAGATCCCATGAATAAGGTTCATATAGGTAAAAACAAGTCACTCGTTAGTTCTGATAGCACTAAATTGATTATAATCAATTATATACATTCCTATAGTGTGCGTGAAAGTGCTAGAAACTACATATGAGAGGTTAAATTTGTCATTAAAATTCTATATGGTGAAAGAATTTTTAGCTTAAACAAATTTTTTAATGATTTTCATATCCCTTATGGGTGGTGTATGATTTGTAGCATACACTTGATGAAATCACCTATATGAGTGTCGAGTAGGACCGCTTACATGAGATCTTGGCATGATCTCTAGAGCACTCATGAATAGCGGACATGAACATGACCTAATAAGCACAACACAATGATAACAACAATGATTGTAGGAATGTATTGTGATTGATAAACCTCAAACACACGTCAAGTATCTTTGGTTCATATAGTTTGTTATACCAACTACACCATGTGTTAAGTTTCTTGATCTAAGACTGATTCATATAGATAAGCTCTGATGCATTACAACCTATGAAACCCAAGATAAAAGTTTCTTATCTTTCTTTTAATCTTTCTTTTAATCTTTCTTTAACGATCAGAACAAATATTTGCGCTATTGCTTAAATACAATCATTTTTCAATTTTACAAGAAGATTACATCTTTGAAAAATGATTACCTACAAAATGGAAAATCACTTTTGAGACGAAACTATTTGGATCAAAGATCTTTTCTATTTTCTTTCTTTTACAATATGTGGGGGATTGTTGTAAAATAATAATTTATTGCAAAAGAAACATTGGATTTGAATGTGGGAATTTCAAAAGTTTGAATGTGGGAATTTCAAAAGTACAAACGTTTATTTTTTTTATTTATTATTTATTATTGTTGGCAAAACGTTCTTTGGTTTAATGTTCAGTTATTTATTTATTTATTATTCATTATTGTTGATAACGGTCTTCGACCAAGTTTCTCACTTAGGGTTGTCTCATGCTCTATAAATAGAGCATTTCTTGCATTCCAAAACACACCACAAAGAAAGTTTTTTCTTCCTTCTCCAAAGGAAAAGTTTATTCCACAAGTTATCTTCTTAGTTTTTCTTCCTTTCTTTTCTTATCCTCCTTTTATCTTGGGTTTATTCTTTTACTTTCTTTAGAGTTTCCACTAGTTCTGGAAATTTCTAAGAAGTTCTTGTTGTATCCTAAGGCACTTACGCAACTGCGGATAAGTCTTCAAGGGAAGTGGAACTACACAACTCAAAAAATTTCTACTACATGATAATCCTAAACATTTTTTTTTAGTTTATTTTCAATTACATGATTTTATATACTTGTATAAATCTAACCAGATGATGGAATTACAATTGATCTCAATAAGCAAAATGAAAATTTATCTTTATCTTCTTATCTAATAATTATAAAAATTTTATCTCATTTTCATCTTAATGATAACAAATTTATTAATTTTTTTCCATACATGTCTCTATTATTTTAAATATTAATTAAATAATTTTTTTTCACTAAAATCTCAAATAAGTGTGATATTACTGATGATGATTTGATGTCAAAAGAATTATATATAATAAAAATCGTTGAACACAATTGAAATATTTTTATGTGAACAAAATACATAATAAATAAAAATATTAAAGAAAAGTAAAAATAATTTGTCCTTAAAAACTATTTAATGTAGTTAAATTGAGGTTTGTATTTCTTCCAATACAATACATCATTTGAATAAAATTATATACTAAAAAAGAAAAATGTATAATCAAATTTATAGAAAGAAGGAAAAGTAAAATATCAATGAACCAACCTTGTAAATATTGAATAAGTTAAACAACAATAGAAAGAAAGACGAAAAATTATGCGAAAAAAATAAAATTTTTCCAAATTAAAAAAATCTATATAAAAAGAGAAATATAAATAAATTTATTACATTACAAGTGTTTTAATAATTTAAAATGGCACATGTAACAAATTTTGACCAATAACTTTAGCGGAACCAAAATAATATACTCAAAATTTATTGGTTTAATTATTATCATTAATACAATAAAAATTAATACATTTAATTTACTAATATAAAAAAAATTAATACATACAAAATAAATCATACACATCTAAAGGATTATTTTACTGATAGCTTCCCTTTTATCACTTTTCAAAAATTAATCAATTCATTTTTTGTTGATCAATATACTTAATTTTTAAAGAAAAAAAAAATTAAGATTAAAAAATAATTTATCATAATCTAATAAAAAATTGACAACTACTAAAACAAAAATCTATTATAATCAAATCACAATTAAAAAAAATACTTTTAGAATAAAAATAACGAATTTGTGTCAAATTTTCGTTTTTGTCGTATGAATATAATTTGTGAAAAACAATAAAATATCAATAAATATTTTCTATTATACTTGATTTTATGTTGTATTATTTATTTTCATTAAATGTTATGCTTTTACAAAAGAAATAAACAGACACCTATGATTTCAATCAATTTCTAATATATATATTACATATAATTTAAAAAGTTTCAAGAAAATTTGAAAATTCATAACATATATATACATATAACATGAACAATTTTAAAATATTTTAGGTAGACAAATATAATCATACCTGCTCTCATTTTTATCCTTAATTTAAAAATCCGATATTATTTTTACTAATTAATACAATTATATTTATAAAACTGAAGAGAAAAATTTCGACAAAAGATAAAGAAACCCGTTCACCCACTTGTGTATTCATCCGTTCATCTACACATAAATAGAAATTTAGGGTGACAGCTATACTTTACCAATTCGAGAGAAATTAGAATAAATAAAGGAAAATGTTATTTGGACAACAAAAATTTGACACAATTTTGACAACGGCGACGTGGCAGCTGTGTATTGGCTCAGTGAATTGAAAACAAACCAGAAAAAACCCAAAATACCCCTCACCCCGGTTCACTGAGCCAATGCACAGCTGCCACGTCGCCGTTGTCAAAATTGTGTCAAACTTTTGTTGTCCAAATAACATTTTCCATAAATAAAACCAAAATGTTTGAGGATGAGAAGTACATATACGTACAACTGCAACCATTCAAATACCATTCGAAGTCAATAAAGTACCAAATGAGAAGTATTTGTGAGTTTCAACTTTTGTCATATCAATGTTTCAAATATGTACTCTGCCGTATAAATATACTGCAGTACCCTTATACTGGATAATTAAAGATTTCAAAATAAAATAATTTATGCAGTAAAATAATTTTCATTATTAATTATTATTATTATTGACCAATCAGTAAACAACATTATAAAATTAATATTTTTTACAATAATTATTGTGAGAGTGAAGTATTAAAAGCACACATACACACTTTTTCAACACATTCTTGTTAATACTTTCTTATCGCCTATTAAAAATTAAGAAAATTAGGGAGTTTATAAACTCGTCTAATTTTATAATTTTTAATAATTTCTTAAGGAATAAAACAAAACAAAACTTCCATAATACGTTCCTCGTACCGAACGAAACAAGAAACTGAGGATGTTCAATTGACAACCCTGCAATTACTTCTGATCTCACCGGCGGTTCCAGTGAGAGGAGTGATATGACCCATCTTGATCATGGCTTCACTAAAATCACGAAAAAACGCAGCATTATTGTCGCTGTAAATTCTCACCAAAGAGTCTTGAGAGCCACCATCGAAGAGCACTTGATCTGAGACGAGAAGGCCACGGCCAGCCACCAACTCGGAGAAGTAGTTGTTGTCGAAACGAACGGGAGTGAGGGAGTCCAGAGGGGACAAGTTGGTGTCCCCACCGGAGGAAGGGCAAATGCTTCTTCTTGACGCGGCGAAGCTAGTGTCGATGTTGGTTCCGTTGTAGATGCGAGCTCTGAAAAGCTGGCACTGCGCTTGGCCTATGCTGTGGCCGCCGGAGAGCACGGTGAGATCACGCGCGCTCAAGCCTTTGGCGTCGAAGGCGCTGGTGAGTGTGGGAAGGTCGGAGAACGGAGAAGGGAGTTGGGCGTTGGCTGCGCTTTCGCTTGCTGTTGTTGCGTCTCTTCGACCTAGAGCAACTGTCCATGAAGGTCCCCCAAGCTGCATTTCAGAATATTAGTTCTAGGTTACTATGATTTTCTTTTTTTTCTTTAATTAAACATCAATCTAATTCAAAACTTTAACCTAATAAATTTATGAATTTTTCGTTAATGTTTAATTTTTTCATATTTATTTAATGTAAAATTTAAACTTACGTTTATGTTTTTATTTATTTCTTTTCTTTAAATATGAGCCTCTTGAAATATATTTTTTATTTTATTTTATTCATGTTTGTGAACCTTTATTAAGAAGATTTTTCATACAATTTTTTTTATTTATTTGTGATCTCGTTTATCATAACTAGACATGCTTGATGAACTTTAGAAGACTTTTGATACAAATATCATATATTTATACGAGTCGATCATCAAAATAAATTTTAAATTTATACTATAGACGATTTTTTCAAGAAAAGATTATCAAAGAAAACACAATATTAATAAGACAAGAACTCAATCCAATAAAAAAATATGCACCATTTTTTATTTAAAAATTTAATACAATGTTTATGGTTTTATTTCTTGTAGTATTTAACTTTTTTATTTTTATTCAATATATATACTCACTTATTTTTTTCTCCTCTTCCATCATTTTATCTAATATAAGCGTTTTTTTAAGAAATAATTGTTTGATTTTAATGTGATATCAGATAGATAAAACGAAACAGTGAGAAAATAGGGTTGAATTGTTGAGGAAAAGTGGTGAGTGAAAGCTAAAAATGGATGAGACAGGAGAAGACAAAGGTTTGGTGGTACTTGTGTTTCTGAGTTTTTAAAAGGGAAGATAATGAGTGGTTCTTCTCGAGAATGAGACAAGGCTGACACCACACTTTGATTGCATCAACCATTATCCCTTCTTCTTTTTTCTTTTTCTCTTCATCAATTATTGTTCTGTGTCATGCATTCTTTTGGGGAAGAGGACCCCACCAAATTACGAGAGTTGACATGGTGATCGATTACGTGTTAGAGGAAAGTAAATACCGAAAGTCAATAATGGAAGAAGGAAAAACCCTAATGAAAGAAACAGGAGAAGAGATGGCTCACCAGAACTACTCCATCTCTTGCTGCAAGTGCCAGAATATCAGCACAAGAGACAATGCCATTGCAAGCAGCTTCAACCTTGGTTTTAATGGCATCTATCACTTCGTAACCCCTCACTGAATTTCTGTTTGGTGCTGCATTTTTCTCACCAACAAATGTGCCAGTGTCATCCAATAAAAGTGATGCATCGCAGCCCTGAAAATGTTACTAAGATTAAGCAAACCATGTATGCATGATGTTATTTTTACTCAAATTTAACATCATGTAAGTTTGAATGTTAAGTTACTTCTGCTAATACCAGTTTCACATGTTGTTACATATATATGTGTACGAAGTTAGATGTATAAATGGTATTAAAGAAACAAGAAACTGTGTTCTTACATTCACAAAACAATCGTGGAAGAACAATCGGAGTATAGAGGCTCCAAGTCGAGCTTCTCCATTGATGGCTTGCTCCATTGAATTTCTGACAATGGTTTGAAGATTGGGACAAGTTTTATCGTAGAAGTTGGTAGAAAGTTGTGCATTGGTTGAAGAAGAAAGGAGAGAAAGAAGGAAGTGTGCAACAAAGAAGAGGGTACGTGAGAAGGGTGTCATCTTTCAAGCTTTATTAAGCCACAAATAATGATTATTGTGTTGTGTTAGAGGTGAAGAGGGTATGCAATATATAGAATGTTGGTGCATGCAGACACAGCAAAATTTGGAAAAAAAAAAAAGTTCTACCAAATTTCAAATTTGGCTGCTCCATACATGCTTTACTTTAAATAAAAAAAAAAAAATTGGGGAGAAACCAATGAGATAAAATATCACAGTGCAATTGTTCTTAAAGGAAACACAGGATAAATTTAACATCAACCACAAGAATATATATTAGAAAGATTCGTTACTAGTGAATATGGTTTAATCAGAGATAAATTAACACTAGTTCCAACTTAAAATTATGAAGTTTAATATTTAAAAAAAATCTTTATATTAATTTTGATCACTGATATTATTTGGATCAATTATCCTATTTAAGATATTGTTCGTTTTAGAACTTATCAAATTTTATCCTTAAAAGACCAGTAAAAAATGAGAAGAGTATTTAAATTACATTTGTTCTTAAACTTCTTAAAGAGATTAAAACTATTAGAAGTGAAAAATTAATTTTCACACTTGAAGATTTTTTCTTGAGACAACTTGGATGGCTGCAACTTCATCGGGAACAATCCTTTTAATACATTCATGAAAATTTTTGAACATTCTACTTTGCATTCAATAAATCCACTAATAACAATGTCATAGTTTTAAGTAAATTTTAATGGAAAGAATTACAAAAATTAGTAAGCAGTGTGAGACTTTACTATATAGTCAGTCATCTCATCACTAATATGCACATGATATATAATTAAATATTTAAGTGTGGTTAATTTTTTCAGTAAATAAAAAATCTTCCATACTAAAAGTTAAATAACATCATAAATATACTGTTCCAAACCCCCTGATAAGAAAAGCACGTGTTAAAAAGAGCTTGTTATTTTCAAAAATTTACATTGATTTATATGACGACATCTAAATTTTATTATCTTTTCATTTATTACTTAATCATTATTTTATTTTAAATAACATCAATAAATATGTAACAGATTTTTCACATAATGTCTTTCACTTTAAGACACGAGTTTAAAACTCAATTTTTAAAAAATTAAATTTTAAAGCAAGATTTTTATATCACTTGTATATTTTATTTTAGTCATATAATATGTTCTTACATATAGAAGACTCAATATCTTTAGTATAAAAGTAGATATTTGATGTTATATACGAAATTAATTTATAAAATGATGTTTTACACTTCCCTTTATATACTATAACCAATGAGATTAATGAAGAAGACAATGATAAAATCGCATAAAGTATTCTTAATTTATATGAATGGTGCTCTTTGGTTTTCCAACTTTTATCTTTATTTAGTTTATTATTATTTAATGAAAGAGGATGCATGATTGGTGTTACTTTACACGTCAGTAACATGTATAATTCATAATATATGAACGCAAAGATGAAGCAAAAAAGAAAGAGCTTGAATCAGTCACCAGCCATAAAAGTGATTCTAATCATAACCATGAATATATCCTTTTTAGGAGAACAAAAAGCTGGGATCTGTTTGACCAGTTTTTACAAGTTGCATATGCACATAAAGCACTTCTCAATCTAACTTCAATTACATTTGGTTAAGTCAAACACATCTTTGTCTAAATCAGTTATTTTGTCAAATCAAAATTAACAAAACAAATTATACAAAAAAGTGGGCATCGTTCACGTTTCTGAAAAATAAAATAAGTTGGTTGTGTGCACTTTTCTAGTGCTTCACGTTCATATGAAAAATGGTTGTAGAACTTTTAATAAAGGTTGACGAAGGTATTTATGCATGAAAATTCAATGATTTGAATTTCTATATGATTATAAATGATTTGACAGGGAAATCTGCAGCCACGTTATAGTGAAATTGTCACATAGGTGTAACTCACTTCACACATGCTTATTATTACGATGTGTTTGGTCACGTATGCTCATAAATTAAACCATATCAAAGTCAGAACTATGGCTAATTCAAGATCTCATACATTATCGACGTCATCGTTTATTTTTTAAAATAAAAATTTAGAGAAAAAGGGACAGTACCTCAGTTTTTTTAAGTTTATATTAAACATTACTGTATACTTTAGAGTAAAGAAAAAAAGTTTCTAAATTTAAAAAATATTTGCTAAGAAACTTATATTTACTTCATTATATGGAGACAAATGAAAATTTAAAATATTCATATGTCTATTGAAAGGGATATTTAAAAGGAAAAAATAAATAATTAGGTGAGCAGTGTGAAAGGGAAAATTCAATTGAAATTGTTTTCTTAGAAGTGATAAATATTTCTTTGAAGTCCTATTTTTCTTGACAGTAAAAATTTAAGTTTTGAATATAGTTACCAAATGCATAGATAAATAACTTTAAAACAATATACCTTTGTCTTCTTTTTATATTTATAAATAAACGAAACAGATCGCACCATTCTTTTAGGCAAACAATGTTCAATAACTACATTTTCCTGACAGATTAAAAATGGCTTAAATTTCCCAGACGTCGCCATGACAATGACAAGGGTTTAGGAACACAAGGATATGGAGTGATTGACAAATGTAGGAAAACAAAAGTTTAAACACGGTTTCTCATTAACGTACTAGAAACAGAAATAGGGTTGAATATTTGAGAATCTTAGGAACATTTCGTCAATCATACTAACGTATTTAACCAAACACGCTCTAATTATTTCCCTCATGATACCTTCAAATAGCCTTCAGTTTTTTTTATCCTTTTGCCATGATCCACCAACACCATCAGCCTTACAAAGAAATCTATGCCTCAGTAGTAACTACATGAATGGAAAAAAAGTCGTAGGAGGGGACAATAAGATGATGAATTAATTCCCTGAGGCATGTTCAATTGCTTTCTCTCTCTTTCTTTTTTCTTTGTTTGCCTTAAAGGATACAATAATTGATAATTGAAAACCATGATGATTAGTAAAGCACCAAGCAACCAACCATCAATTATGGGGAGACTTGAAAAAAGATTCTTAGATAGAACCTTCCATCACAAACTGAGATGAACAAGTCTTGATCTTTCATCAATTTGAACATTAGCATTAAACCCACCATTTTTTTCCTCACCAAAATGTATCGCATTGTTCAAGATTACAAAGAAACGGCAACTAATACCAAGCATACAGATACAAGTTAGGTGAGCATGTACCTATCCATCATTTAAATGTTGATAATATATGTTACATGCACTAAGTAGATGTTGGGCCGGGGGACAACTTGGGAGAGTGGAAACTAGAGCAGCTTCCCACCTTTGAAGGGGACCTTTGAGTCTTAACCAGTGGAACCAATGACTGCACAACATCTGCCATGAGAGGACGATAGTCTGCCTCGGGTTGCACACACATTGCAGCAATTGCAGCCACCTGGACAACCTCTTTCATAGAGTACTGTCCCTCCAATGAAGGATCCATAATCTTTACAACCTTTTCCCTATCGGTCAAAAGAGGCAGAGCCTAAACACATATCGCACATGCAAGTTTGTTAGAAAAAGGAAGTGCTAAGATTGGTGGAAATACGAATTGATTAAATAACTATCACCAAGCAGTACAGAATCAACTTAGAACTTGATTTGTTGAAAGAAGTAACAAACGCACCCAAGAAACAAGAACACCTTCTCCGGGAGGTCTCTTCATATCTACTGGCACTCGGCCAGTGAGCAGCTCCAAAAGTACAACACCATAACTGTACACATCTGATTTTGTGGTTAAATGCCCTGTTAGTGCATATCTGCACAAACAAACATTGAGAAACACAAAATTAGTTTTTCATGAGATGAATTATTCAAAGAAAAACTCTTGAAATAAGAATGAAGATTACACAAAATGACCAAAACAAGGTGAGGTTTCTACTCGGGAGCAACATATCCTTGGGTGCCCAAAACTCGAGTTGAAACATGTCCACCAGCTCTATCAGGTCCCAGCTTTGCCAATCCAAAATCAGAAACTTTGGCATGAAATTTCTTATCCAAGAGGATGTTACTGCTCTTAAAATCTCTGTGAATAACTGGGGGACTGACATGCTCATGAAGATATTCTAACCCCCTAGCAGCTTCAAGTGCTATTCTTAATCGAGTTTCCCAATCCAACTTTATGGGTGTAATAATAGAATCTACAAGAAAATCAATTGATCAAAACCAACTCAAACATACAAAATAACTAACAAAAAAAAAATAGCAAACATGGCTGCAGACACAGCACTCTTGAACACTTTATATTAAATAGCCCACTGATGAAAATTTTAAAAGAAAATAAGGGTAGACAAAACAACAAGATTTTTTTTATCTCAAATGTGTAAAAAAATATCAATAAAAATATGGAATAACAAACAATTATAACATTCTCCAACACATCATAGCAAAATTTTGTTTTCATGGTATCAATAAAGATAATATGCAGAATTTTTGCTCCAGGTTCTGGCAAAGTTTTTATAATAGATCAAATAGACAAACTAAAAATAGAAATTATTTTGAAACAAACTTTATGCCATACATGACCCATCAAAAATTTCCTTTTACAGTGTTCAATACACCTAGAGATTTAGAGGGACGTATTGCTACTTATTGGAGGATGTGCAAAATTAATCAGGAGGTAAATCTCTCTTCTCTAGCAAGATTGTCAATTATACATAAACTGACCAACTTAAGACTTTTCCTCAAAGATCGCATACAAATTACTTACGCACCTACGAGCTATCTATGTAAAATGTAGACATCAGAAAAAGCAGTAACAAATCGAACATATAATGTAAATTCAGATTGATATAACATGGTTATCACTTCAAGGCCACTATCCATATTGTGTAATATGCGAGGAACATAGTTCAATGTGTCACTTTCAACCCATAGTCATCATAAACTTTACAAGGGAAGAAAAACCCTTTCAGAGTGAAGAAGTTCGGAAAAGAGAATGCAAGAGAGAATTTTATGAAAACTTTTTTTTGCTTATATGGACATGCCATTCAATTTTACACAACAGAACAGAGGAATGTATGTAAGGAATCAGTTAATCAGAGTACCAAATGTAATGGTCAAACTGGGTACACGCTGGCAGGCTGTTTCCA